GAACCCGGCCCTTGTTGCTGCCAACTTAGATGGGCAGAAGGGTTACACTTTCATGGCAGATAACTGTCCTACCACATCATTATCTTCTCCCTTTCGCTTTCCTTTCTCTTTCTCGACAAATGTGGGGGAAGCAGCACCTGATGTCATAGTGGAATCTGGAAAAAAAAATGTAACCAGATGTCATCAGTAATTGGTCCTTATATTTTAGGTGTAATTTATTAAAGATTGAAATGTCTATAGACACACTGCCCAGCCATCTCAATAAAACTACATAACCACTAAGAATGATGTGGAATTTATAATACAAACAGCTATACTTATCAAATACTAACTTGGTACAGACAGCTCTGTTTACTGGTGCTCTTCAAGATGTCACATTCATTATCTTCTCCATCAGCAGAAACAAAATTTAGCAGATTGCCAGAGATGGATTAAGATTTATTGGGGCCCTGGGCACAAAGAACATTTGGGCCCCCCATACTCCTAGCCATGGGGCTCCTCCCCTTCCCACCCAAGGTCCCGCCTCCAGAAGCTGGAACCAGGCTGTGGTAAGAGCTGCCCAGAAAGCCTGGGCTGCTGTGGGGAGCCCTGAACCTTCAACCTGCCCTGGGGGGCAGAGACATGGGCTGGGGGCTGCTTTTGGGCCCCCCACCCAGGTCAGGTTGCAGATCTGGAGCTCTCCACAGCAGCCCGGGCAGCTCTTAAGGGATCCACATTCTCAGCATCTCTCCTTCTCTGGCTCTGGAGGGGGTTAACTCTGTGGTTCAGGGCTCCATTTCATGAGGATACACAGACATCACAAACACAGAATAAAGGATGGTCCCTACTCCAAAGAGCTCCAATCATTCTTAAAAGCCAACACAACAAGTGAACATTATGGATCCTAGGAGAGTAGTGATGAGGGACTCTTGCAGTTATCGAGCCTAACAACAGGTGGGTCCCAAATCAGGTATTTTTTTAAAACATAGCATTGTTAGTGTTCCCTATCAAACCAGATCCCCTGGACTCTCTCAAGGCCCCACCCCAGGAACAAGTGACTCTGGGCCTGCTGCCCATTATTTTTAGAGCATTTTCCCCTTCAGTACAGACTCTCCTCACCAGGGCCCTTTCCCCCAACATCATTAGTTCACATCTCTTCAGCCCCCTCAAACCGTGGGCCAATCCCTCAGGATATGTACTCCCTCTCTCTCTGCTGCTATGCAGGGGGCCAGGATGGGTTCATGAAGTATAGGGAGTCCACTGATCAGTTATGGAATGCCTGCTTTGATGTCCCCACTCATGAGGCCTTCCCGTTACCTAACTCCCTACTTAAACTGCCTGTCACTAGGGACTTCCTTATTGCTATCGATCTTATGTGGAAGGCGCTCAGATACCACGGTGATGGACAGCAGGACAAAACCTTAAGATAGCAAGCTAGACATTTCCCCTACGCAGGAGCCAATCTCCCAACCCTACAAAAACACTCAGTCTGAAAATGCTGAAACCCCAGGGGCTCCTCACACTAAAAGGAACCTCCATGTAGAGCTGCTGAGAGAGGTTATGGGGCTACTATAGCCATCTGCTCCCAAAAGCCTGGCATTACAGACAAGAGGGGACAGAGTCAGGTCCATTACCAGTTGCAGTTAGCAGCAAGAAGTACCTCTGGCATAACAGCCCCTTTGTGCTGCACAGAATGCCCCCCTTTGGAGATAACAGTCAGAGCTGCCAGCTCTCAGGGACACAAAACCTCCAGTTAGCCCCACAGATTCAGCCCAGTGATGGGAGAGGGAACCAGAGGCTAGTCTGGCTCACACGTTGCCAGCAGGATGGTTAGGTGGGCCAACTGCTCTTAGTTATACGTGGGCAATCTAATGAAGGCAAGAGTTAGGGCTGTGTGGGGCTCACCTGGGGGCAGGACCCAAAGGTGATGAGGGAGTGGGGGATGTGGCTGCACATGGGTCACCTGAGGGTGTGACCTGAAGGTCACAAGACAGTTGGGGTGGGGACTGCACAGAGATCAGGCCGTGGCCTGCTGAATCATTCTTGCTGGTGATGCTACAAGGCTGGGAAGACCTTAGCATGACTCCCAGCTCCGGGGGAGTTTGAGGCATTCGTGCCACTGAGAGGATGAGTGAGTACAGGGCCCCGCGAGGTGGGTTTGAGAGTCACTCACTAGAGCAGAACTGTGCTGTGAGTCATCATTTGCCTGTGCTGTGATGGGAAGGCCGCAAAGTCCAGCTCAGCTGGGGCACAGGGAGGGAGCTTCAGCCCCTGACAGAGCATCCTGAGCAGGGAAGGGGCTAGGAAAGTCCTTGCAAAGGCTTCTCCGAGCCCTGATTCTGCTTCTCCTCATCCCCTGCATGAGCAGCCTGTGCCCAGCTGAGGTGCCAGTGCCAGGGCATGGCTGAGCACGGTCACAAAGAGGCAGACTGTGGTTGCTCATAGGGGCAGGGGGCAGGACTGGCGTTCTGGTGCTCCTGCAGGGGGCTCCTGAGCATGGGCCCCATCACCCATGCAGTAATCTGCCACTGCAAATTATGCACAGAACATGGATGCTAGAGCCCTAAGTTCAGTCTTAAATAGAGTACAGTACCATAGTTTTTCCAGCAGTGTAATTCAAGTTAGGGGCTCTCTGTATTTCTGTATGTGCTACTAGCACTACAGCTTTTGGGTTCTCTAGAGACCTAGATTACAGGACCTGAGTCTTCTCTCACTTACACCAATGTAAACCAGGAGGAATGCTGCTAAAGTCTCTGGAGTTACACTGGTGTAAGTGAGGTCAGAATAAGACCTGAACTATCAGTGCTCTCTTCATTGACAGCGTGTCATTTTTCATGGACTGTGAGCTGAACAATGCTACTTATTTAAAACCCTTAAAACACTGGTCACTTTCCAGAGTGTCAACCAAATTAACGCTTAGCAGGATATGTCTGTACCCTCCCAAAGGTTTAGAAGAAAGTTTTATATCAGCTTCAAATCCAATCTATATGCAGGGATCTTTAAACAATAATAAAAAACTATAACTGTATTAATTACCAAAATTAGGATGATATACAGCTCGAGTAACTGCCCATAGTCCAACAAATGCCACGTAGGTACCCTTTTAGTATGTGAATATAGAGTATGTACATGCTTAAAAAAACACACCACTGTTACATGGAGAGTGTTTTCATCAACAAGCTGCTTTCTGAGAAAAGGGCATGATGTCTGACAAGAGAGTTAATTTTTCACTGTGTAATGAGGTTCCTTTAAACACCACCTTTAAATATTTGAAAATTAGATTTTATAAAAGCGAGGGACTGAGCTGGTAGGTGTTGGACAAGCTTCCATGTGTTACTGTGCCAAATCATCTCAGTCCTGAAATAAACACCCTTGCTATTTACAGCCAAAGGCAGGATGGGAAAAGTCCTAATGCCAAGAAGCCTGGGAAAAAAGTTATATCTGGGCAAGTGTCAGGTTTCTTGCCTTTTAGACAAGCAGAACTGCAGAGGCTGGAGGCAGGCTGAGTCAGATTGGCAAAGATCCTGCATTGGTGTTTTTTGGGTGTGTGTGTGTGGGGGGGCTTCCTCTGCAGCATGGGGCACGAGTCACTTGCAGGTTTAAACTAGTGTAAATGGTGAATTCTCTGTAACTTGAAATCTTTAAACCATGATTTGAGGACTTCAGTAACTCAGCCAGAGGTTAGGGGTCTATTTCAGGGGTGGGTGAGGTTCTGTGGCCTGCAATGTGCAGGAGGTCAGACTAATGATCATGATGTTCCCTTCTGACCTTAAAGTCTATGAGGCTGAACAGCCAGAGGGCACAGCAGTTACTGAATTGCCAGAGAAGAGGGTGGCAGATGTGACTGATTAGAAATAGAGCAAAGAGAACTGCGGTGGGGAAGAAGAAAAGGGATGGGCAAAACTGATCTGCCAGTGACAGGGGAGGGGAAAGGGCCTAGCTACTGAAGTGATGCCTTATAAGCAGATGTGTAACCCACATGCCTTCTGGGTGTGGTGTTCTGTCCCATCTAGTGGCACTGAGACCACTTAAAGAGAGAGAAAAATGAGTCTGCTCTACAGCCTTAGCTAATAGCCAGCTGGCTTTTGGCTCATGCACTAAACTCCAGAGGTCCCAGGTTCGATCCTGCCCACTGACAACTGAGGTTTGTCAGTGTTACAGGTGGGATCAGAAAAGCATAATGCTGAGTATGCCTGAGGCTGAGCCTCAAGCAGAATGTTCTGTTACTGCTTTATTTAGAGCTGTGGTTCTCAACCCCTCCCCACCCCAGGTTTCAGGGGGTCTGCCAAAATAAGCAACAGATCACACCAAAAAAAAAAAAAAAAAAATAGTTTCACCTCATGCTATTTGGACACATTGGTTTTTTTTGTTTTTTGTTTTTTAAAGCAGAAAGCATTTTAATTTTCATGCATGATATGCTGAAACCTATTGGCTTCAGCAGGGCTGGCGTTAGGAGGTAGCAAACAGGGCAACTGCCCGGGGCCCCATGCGACAGTGAGCCCTGAAAGAAAAACAGTTGCTGTGGCACAGGTGGGCCACACAGTTTTTAACAGCATGTCGGGGGCCCTCAGAAAGAAAAAGATTGAGAACCCCTGGTTTAGAGGACTGTAATGACTGGGGAGCAGAGAGTTTGGGTAAGAACTTTTCAGCTACAGTCGGTCAGGTTGTTCAAGGTTCTCTTTGCCAGAAAGACAAGCAACCCTTTAACTTCTCAGCCAAGTTGACGTGGACACACAGTCTACTCTAAGAACCTTGCATACGTAGCAGCAGCAGCTGCAAGTCATAGTTTGATTTGATTTTAAGAAAGAATAAGGCTCATAAACAAATAGTTCAAAGGCAGCTGTTTCCAGAAGGGCGAGTGATAGTTTAAATACCAACTAAGCCACAGAAGGCTTTATAGTAAAATAAGCTTAACATTTGATTACTTACTGCTTCTGCAAAACCATTTGAATTTAGGAAGGAGCTGGGCTCTCTAATATTTTGATACAGCCTTGTAATTGCAAGCTTAGCTTCTGGTATCACAGCTAATATATTTAAATTAGTGAGTAAATCAAGGATAGATTTGCAAATTATATTATATAAAAAAGCTACATATGCACAGACTGTTTTCCACCTTTTTAAAAATAAACTCAAACCACCATACTGTGGGTTTTTTAAAAAACATTAATATTAACAA